GCTGCAGTGAGCTGAGATCGCATCACTGCACTCCAGCGTGGTCAACAGAGGGAGATTCTGTCTCAAAATAGTAATAATAATGGCTGGGCACGGTGGCTCATGCCTGTAATCCCAGCATTTTGGGAGTGCCGAGCAGGCCGGATCACCTGAGTCAAGAGTTTGAGACGCAGCCTGGGCCAACCAAGGTGAAACCCATCCTAACTGAAAATACAAAATTGAGCGGTGAAACGTGGTAGTGTGTGCCTGTAACCCAGAACTCGGAGGCTACCAGCAGGAGAACCTGACTTGACCTGGGAGGCGAGGTCCAGCCAGTGAGCCGATATCGTGCACTGCACTCAGCCTGGGCGACAGAGTGAGATCCGTCTCAAAAACTAACTAACTAACAAATATAATAATAAATAAATATAATAAATAAGTTTTTTTAAAAAAGCAAATGCCTCCAGTTCAATTCTAAGCATCCTCAGCAAGGATGGGGGTGTGAGCCCAGAGACCCCAGAACAGACCTGGAACCAGGGGTGCACCTAGTCAATTGCTGAATCCACCATTGTATTCTGTTTGTCTCAGATTAAGGATGAAACAGGGATACAAAAGTAAAAAAAACGCTGGGGCCGGTGCTCAAGCCTGTAATCCAAGCACTTTGGGAGGCCGAGGTGGGTGGATCAATGGGTCAGGAGATCGAGACCATCCTGGCTAACATGGTGAAACGCCGTCTCTATAAAATACAAAAAATTAGCCGAGCGTGGTGGTGGCCCTGTCATTCCCCAGCCACCCGGAGAGCCGAGCAGAAGAATGGGGTGAACCTTGGGAGGCAGAGCTTGCAGTAAAGCGAATCCGCGCCCACTGCACCTCAGCCCGGAGACAGCGAGACTTCCGTCTCCAAAAAAAAAAAAAAGAACAGTAAAAAAAAAAAAACACACACCAAGACAAAAAAAAAAAAAAAAAAAAAAAAACCATGAGCCTCCCTAGCACTCCTTGGGAAATATCACATGTCAGGCCTATGACAGAATGGTGTTTATTAGGCCAAAGGCTCCAGGCTCGTTAGCAGGAAGGGTGCTAAGCTGCAAGCCACAGCACAGCTCATTTGGGAAGCAAAGGCAATGCAACATGTGTACCCTCCCAGGCCTGGGCATATAGTCCCACCATTATTGCTATTAGCACTTGTCTGCACTGAGGCAGATCTAATTGTCATCAGGGCTCTGGAAAACAGGTGGTGTGGGGGGATGTTCCATAGAGTCCACTTAGGATCATCATTTTTTTTTTAATTTTTACTTTTATTTTTTTTATTTTGAGAAGGAGTCTTGCTCTGTCACCCAGGCTGGAGTTCAGTGGTGCGATCTCGGCTCACTGCAAGCTCCTCCTCCTGGGTTCACACCATTCTCCTGCCTCAGCCTCCCGAGTAGCTGGGACTACAGGC